CCYYCTCTAACCCCCATCTGAACCATTTCTGTAAATTCACTAGAAATACCTATAAATAAAAAAAATGGAAAACAACGACTGTTACCTTATAGGCAGTTACTGAAAGGAAGAACTACTGTTTACTACTGAATTGTCACCTCACAGGAGCARGCACCTGAATTTCTCTGCTGTTCATACCAATACCAAACCCAAGATGGGTGCTGAACACAGAGGAGTGACCAGCCATTGAAAGGGAAAGACAATTCCTTGCTTTGGAACAGGTCCTCTTTCTCCATTTACATTCCTTTTGTGTGGTTTATACATGTTTCTAACAATAGTCAATTTTAAAAAATGAATTATAAGCCCCACTACACTGCTCCTAATTTATGCTTTGTGGATTTAGACTATCAGGAGGATACTACAGRTAACAAACATGCAATAGGAGTATAAGAAAACAACAGCACTGTATTTATGATATAAAAGCAGAAAATAATCTGCATTCATACATCTAGAATTTGGGGAGCCTTCAAACAAAGTAAGTTATACACCTAAGGATTTTTTTTTACAGCCAGATCAAAAGTACAAAGCCTCAAGAAAAAAAATTGCAGTAAATTCATACAGATTATTGCTGGCAGGTCTGCTTTCAATTCACTAATGATATAAACATGATGAATATTTTTCATTTATTTGCAGGAAAGGAAGCATATGATAATTATTAATTCCCATTTTCTATCTGAATTCCCTTGTAGAACTGCCAGYGCTCTTAAGAATGTCATTTTCAGTAATCAACTCAGACTCAAAGTACCAACTCCTCATCTACTGATGGACATCAACTTACTCATAAGTCTTCACCAGCTGATAGAGACACAGGAGGCTCCCMAGCCAACTCCCACTGTTTGGAGACTGCAGGTAGTATCCTATCTTGTCTACCACAGCTGTCCAATGGCCAGGGAAGTCATGTTTAATGATAGCACGGAGGCACATTGTCAGCTGGGCTCTGTGATGGGAAAAAGAAATATAAATGAATATTTGTGGTGTAGTGTTTCATTTAAAGGCTAGATCCCAAATCTTGATTTATTGGCTACAATATCTATATTATGTCATAAGTATCGGACATATTATGACAGCACTAAGAGTTCTGGGAAGTAGCAGAGGAAAAGTGAGGAAAAATCTGACAGGATTAACTTCAAGGAAGAAACTAATTTTAGAACATTTTATCTACTTTTCTCCCTCCCTCCTCTCTCGCCACATCTGTCAAGCAGTACTTAAAAAGAACTACTTGTTCATGAAACCAGTTCGCGTCATACTTTGAAAATGAATATTTATACTTGCTTATCAAGCTGAAAGCAACCACAAAACCAGGAATTTGTATATTTTCATGAAAGAATAATGGCCTGTGTTATCATCCAAGCCACAGGTTCCTCAAGAAATTACARTTTTCCTGGGATCTTCTAGAACAGCACTTTCTCAACCTCCAAAGCATATGGCARAGCCAACTAGGTAAAAAACAACTCACCATTTCCCTCCTGCCACACACTTTTAGATGCCACTCACAATGGWGAGGCAAGGCAGGACTGTTGATTGACTAAAGTGAGGTGTGACTAAAAATCTTGAGTAGCACTGAACTAGAAGCTGTGGAGAAATACTTTTACTTCTGCTGAGCAATGAAAAAAAAAAAGCCTGCAGAAAMTATTAGTACCCATCCTATCAGCCACACTTTAATTAGAGGGGTACAAACCATAGACTGTAGTATGTCTGTGAGTCTTAAATATTCTTCCAGCAAAAAAAAAGAGAGCAGCAATTCATCAGTCTTTTAACACCTTAAAACCAAGAACACTAATACATATTTAAAAACCGGGATTACATATCAAAATCGATAAAGTAATTAAGAAGAGGGCTACTAGAAAAAAGGAAATAAAATCTTGGACACTATTTCCCTGAAGGTTAATTCTATACTGCAGACAGTCCTGTATATACTATCTGCCTTGAATCAGCCAAATAGACAGGCTGTCACTACAGCAAGTGTTACAAGACACTTTGAACAACACCCTAAGAGGATAAACCACATCACAGGGCTCTCTGCCAGGCTACTACATTTCTGAAAAACAAGCATGCAGCAGCAAGTGTAACTACATTACTATTACTTTTGCAAAAAAGTACCTGTTTCATCTCCCAAAACATGGATATTCTCATGTTAACAATATCCAGACTGGAAGATGTGAAAACCTGAGCAACAGAAAAATCTCTGCGCAATGTAAGGTACCTCACTAAGTCAGGAGAACGAATTATTCCTTCTACAATGTTATCCCGAATCTGCTGACGATCATTTTCATGAATGTTGAATGGAAAAACTGCTTCTCCAGGAGGTGGCTCACGGTCCGGCCAGTACTGTGTCACCATGTTCTTCAGGTAAATGGCAGCTAAGTACAGACAATGGGGAAAGAAGAGTTTAATTCTAACACACATTGACCAGTGCTCAACATGCAGAACAGCTGAAAACACAACTAAAAACCACCACTTGAATTCTTAAAAACTATGGRCACTAAGCATAGCTGAGTCAGAAAAGCATTTCTCTTACAATTTCACACAGGATCAGGCTCAAGTGCCAGATCAGAACAGAACAGGGTCATATTTCCCTCAGCATGCATTGAGGTACATTCTTTACTACAGCAGTCTTCCATATGGACATAATATCCCATCACTCTAAACAAGCCAGCAAAAATCTACTTATCTGTGTTTTCACTCATSCCTAAAACAACTAGTCAAGCTCAGTAAGTGAAGCTTTGGAAAACTCGTGTAAACACATCGCTGCACACACAGATGGGACACTCTGCTTGGGGAAATGCCCAGTATGAAACTGGCACGTGGCCCTACCTTCTATTCAGACAGAAATGTTTGTTGTGAATTCCCTAAGCTTTATCTCACTAGTAGGATTTCCCATAATCCCTTAGAATTGTTCCCTTCTGTCTCACATGAAAAAACAAGAAAAATAAAGTTAATCTTCAACAGTAAATAAAGCAGCCTTTATGCATAAGTACTAAAATGCCTGTAGGTATTCTTCAAGAAACATAGGAAATATGGTGTGAGGCATTAAAGAAATGTTCTTAATAAACTCATGCCTGAGTTTATTTTGGTTGATTACTAGCTAGAGTTTTAAAGTATAAGTAAGATATCCTTGGGTACAATCATTTTTCTTGGTGATAACAAATTGTGAAGTATGAAAACACATAGCTTGTAAAATATTTTATAGGAGCAAGAGGAAAAACAGCTCTTTGTCTCTGACATGCTAGACTAGTCAGAMAAGAAACAGGTCCTGAAAGACCAGCCCAAAACTTTAATCTACGTTTTCCATAGATCTTGTTGTTATACAAATTCTTGGCTTTTAAAAAATTCCCAGGGAAATCTGTTGGCTTACAAATACAACTTAAATGTGCTTTTCTACTTTACACCCCACTGTAAAATAAATTTTAAAAAAAAGTTACATTCCAYATAGTTGGGTTTTTCTCCTGAATGATACTGAAATGAGAGATTAATTTATGAAAATTACCTTATGGAGTCTAGATGAGGCATCAAACTTTACTACAGAATGGACTAACAACACCATTCAAAGCTGGATTATCTTTGAAAAAATAAAGGCCAGCATGACAAACAGAATATGTCAGCACACCCCAAAGCACTCAGGGGATTAATGGGATCTGTACCAAAAACAACCCAACAGTGCTTCCATGGGAAACGCTGTTCCATAGGATAAAATCAAAGCCATAAATGAAATAGTATTAATTAATTTACTGAAAAACGTAAACAGTCTCTGCATCTGACAAAAATATTATACAGGATTGTTAAAATGGATTATGGGAATTTAGAATCTGATCCTCCACAAATGCATACCCTAAAGTTAACTGCACCACCATACCTGTACTCACACAGCTGGGCAATCCTTCCAGACATGCTCAGACTGCAACTCTGTAACTTCCCAGTGATGTGATCTTCCTTCACACCTACTTACTTAACTAGTCACCAAGATACTGACTAAATGCATGTGGCTACCCTTGATCCAGGAGCTAAGGAGTTATTTCCATTATTCAGAAATTTTTATYTTTTCAGGAAAAGAGATTGAAATAGAGAAATGTATTCAAATGTGATACACTTTTTTATTTTTAAACTCACACTTGTCATCATTGCTTCTTCACCACCAGGAGAAATAATACCTAAGAGTGCTCACTTTTGAGTAGTAATCATGCTTTTCTCKTATCAGTATCACAGCAATCCAGTAGGGATCACTACTCACACAGGGAAAGTCAAAGCAGGACTCTACCCTATACCCACGGTTTTATCCAGCCCTCACGTAGGCAAGAAAAGCAGAGATAGATCTTTTTAATTTCCTCTTTCAGAACAAACCTGAACTGACTTACATAGCAACAGTCCAAGAGTCTATTCAAATAACAGACTGACTTTCTACTGAAAGAAAATGGAACAAAAGATTTATCTCACCTGCTTGACGCACTGGAAATTCAACTTGATCAGATACTATGATTTGCAGCAGACTTGGAGCAAAGTTGATGATCTTATAGGACTGAAATACATAAACAACAGTTAGCAAGTCACCATCTTAAAGAAGACTGTATTAGCAAATRATGAACGAGAAATAAGGATTTTGCACTGTTTTTGCACTCTCCTCATGACGTATGAAAGGTTTCAGCACTTGGATTTACCCAGATCCGCAGAAATCAAAATCATTACTTGTAAAAGCCATGCATGTTACAACACATGGGTGGACTAAATAATGCGAAAGGTTTCTCAATTAGAGATCAGTGATAATGAATATTTAAATAATTCTGAGTATAGACAACAAAAAGCACTAGATATCTGTCTTTGAATTATTTAACTTAGTCCAATAAGTCAAATTGATATTGACAGGCTTCATCAATATACGCCATTTATTTGCAAAACAGTTTGTGGTAGAACAGGAACAGTGAAGAGATTTTTAAAAAGCATTTAAAACTCTTTTTAAGTGTAAACAGCATCTGCATTAGCTGTATACATCTATCTTTTAGCAAACCAGATGTACATTGCATCTCAATAAAAACTGGGGAAACAGTAGGATAAACATTTTCAATTAAAATCAAGTCTAGGCAGAAAACACTTCAAAACCCAACAGCCTTCATGGGAACTTTTCAAACACTACATCAGCCATGCAGYTGAAGAATTTCAAAGAGAAAACAATGCTCAGTGAACTTCTGAGCAAAGCAYACCAGATTTAAAAGATGTGACAATCTGATAGCATTATCCTGCTGCCATCCACCAGGGTTCCTCCAGCGAGGAATCGTTGACTCAGCGTGGTGCAGTTACTACTAAGCCTTGGCAGCATCAGTGGTTACTCGTAGGTCAGATCTTTCATCCCGTGGATCCATGCCCTTTATGTTCAAAGAGAGATGTTTCTTGGGGCTATAAAGCAGGAGATTTCTGTATTTCACCTTTTATAGTATTTCTTCCCACTACATWATGCCTGTGGTTATTTCCAGAGCTGTCCTTTAAGCGCAGGCACAGAACATCCTGCCATAAACTCTGCCTCATTTGAAAGCTGTGAAATAAGAGATACTTTCTGCCCTTCATGTCCCCAATTCCTTGATCTAACATTTACATAATGAGGCAAAATTACATTGCTTTCATGATGCCTAAGTGTCCCAGCTGCATCGTGCCACTATCATTCGATAATTTTACCAAATCACTTAACTTTCTGGCCCTCATTTTATTCACTATAATGATAGTGTAATTCTAACCTACTCTGTGCTCAGACACTCATTTGATGTTTATAGAGTAATCTGAGATCTGAGATAAAAGCAGTAGTAGCAAATCAAAAGCATACTCTCCTGCAATTTCCTTCTCTATAAACTTTAATTACCCCAAAGAAAGGCTCCAAAGTAAAAGCTGTAACATCCAGCACAGAAGCTCCACTCATCTACAGACARGCTGAACTGTTTGAAGCATACTGGATTCCAAAGATCACCTTTTAACTCAGTATCCTGGAGTGCAAAGCTTGCCCTTCTGTCACTGCTGGACAGAATCTGTGCAACACTGGTGGGTTCTGATGGGGCCAGAACAGCAGACTGCAGACTGCAGCATCCTCCAGGACTCAACCCCCAACTTCCACAGAGGTAAGGAAAGCATGAGAAATCCCAGCAGCACAGAAAATCAAGAACATGCATGAATTCTGTCCTTTTGGTTCTCAACAGTGCCTGTATATTGTTCTCAGACCCAATCTACACAACTAGTATTACAGTGAACACACAGATTTAAAATGCAACTTCTTAGGGGGTTGTTTTGTTGGTGGTGGTTTCCTGCTAGAATCCTACCAGTACCACATTTGGGGTGGACACAGTGATAAAAATATTATCTCCATTCCCCTGTGCAAACAGTTTTTACTGAATCTACATTAAAATCACTGCTACTTCAGGAAGCTTTCTGGGTACCATTCGTGTCGGTGTACAACTGCTCTCCCTGAAGTTTTGCCAGGATCTACACAAATATGGTTATTCGGCCTCTGTGCCAGATCCGCTCAGCAAGTGCCTGGAGTGACAAAAGCCCTGTTACGCAGACGGAAGGCACAGTGTCCCCAAGGGGTCCCATCCCCACCAGCACAGCACTCTGTGCATGTCTTTACACTTCACACACCACCACCTCTACAGAGATCGCCGGGCACACTGAATCCTTCTGTTCCCTACTGCTGTCACACCCATCATTTACATTTTTACACAGCTCTGTTTACTACTCTTATCACAAACAAGAAGACTGTAGAGATCAACAGAGACTGTGAGCCCATTTTAGAAACAAGACACCCTATTCTGTTGTATTTGTGAAGCTCAAATTACATCCTGCTCACTTGTGTAGCAACAAACCCGGTCAGGAAAACTGCTGTTCGCAGTTTTTAGATCAGAAGACTTTTTAAAAAGCTGCATGCAGCAACATTTTTCCTAAACCAGCACATTCTCGTTTGTTTAGTTGTCGTGCTAATTGTGATCTTGGGCTATGTCCCTTCCCTGCGTTGCTCTGGACATCAGCAAGCAAAGCTGAACAGCATCACACGAGCAGGTGCAGAGGAACCATCACAGAGCAGGTGTCAGGTGTACACTGTGTACATGGAAATGGGAAAGGAAGAGACCTTGAAGCTGGATGAGTTCATCAAGACAGTTCTTTGTATCACTGCAGCTGCACCTTAACAAAAGCAGAGCGGGAATACTGTCAGTGCCACGGAAGGAACACAGAACTATGTGCTGATTTTGAAGAGCCGTGCCCAGGAGCCGCAGGGAGGCACCAGATGGCTGAAATAGGCCTTCAGCACAGCTCCCATAAACACAGCACGGTGCTTTGTGCACTTTGAATAATTACACTGCCTTGAACCCACATTGTTGTGATTTGATAAAACTTTTGGTGAAGTGCTGGTCCACTGGGGCATATGTTTATTTTGAAGGGGAAAGTAAAAGGTTTTGAAAAACAAACTTTCACTGAGTACTTACAAACAGCAATTATTTTAAAGCTGTGTAAAACACATACTGGCTGTTCTTATACGAAACACAGACCACAGCATCTATGCTAAAAAGTTATCTCATTTAATTCCCATTGGGATTAAGAGGATGGGATACAGCAGTGTGCAAGGCTGGCAGCTATACTGGGAGAGGCACGCAACACTGGGAAGACATAATTGGGTAAATTTACAGCAATGGAGAAGAGATGCACATGAACCATGCATGTTGTTCCATCTGTGTCCACTGTCTCAGGATATGTGCACTGCAGCTGCACAGCTTTCTGCACTCAGTTCCTTCACCTTTGGCATGATGGATCCCTCCCTGTCTCAGCATCACAGCTCCAGGCTTCAAGAGATCAGAGAACATGTAATTTTTTTTCCTATTTCCTCTTCCATGTGATTAGGTACAGAACATAAGACACCCAAGTGAGCCTCAGATGGGCCACAAAAAACATCAAGAAGAGCACCATCACTTGAAAAGAGCTAGAATACAAGGACAGGGAAGTAGGGAAAATATATGAACATTTCCCCAAAGGCATCCTACTGAAACAAAGGCTATTCACATCTAATGYTCAGATTTGGCTCCCAGGCTATCACACATTACAAACTACTAAACTGATTTCATGAAGCATTATTCTTGTGTCTTGCTTGTTGTCACATTTAAAGTCCACATCGAGCAACTGCTCCAGAATCACATTTGTCAATAACTTTCMCACTGTACTGATGGTGCCTGAGTGCAGAATGGCACTGAAAGGTGCTTCTTCCCCTGCAAAACAACAGGACACTCTAGGACAATGGATATGGGAAACATGGAAGCCTTCCCTCAGGTTCTGCAAGCCAAGACCATCCTTCTACACCAGTAGTAAACACCACTCTTTATCTACCTCTGAAGCCAAATATGGCACATAAAAATTGCTGAATAAATAAGGCACCGCAGCTTTGTTTCCAAAAACACACAGAAGAAATTTGTACCTTGGATTCATGAGCAATTAACTGTTTACAATGATTATTTTAGGGCTTAAATACATTTGATCCAAATGTTCAGCTACCTGGTTTACCAAGTTTTATTTTCTGTTTCTGTKTACTGGARATRTATATTTAGACGTTCCATCAGCACACTTCAGAATATTTCTGCAATTGTCAATAGCATTTTCACTCTTATTTTTTTAACTGTCAGTCACAGACTGTTGTTAAAACAAGCTAGAACTTCAAAAGCCACTGTTTTCTTTCCCTGCTTATATGCCAAGGTACTGTGTRGGGAGGGGAAAACACACCAGGGTTTTCACACAGAGTGAAAATTAGCTTGYGTAAGAACCTACCTGAAACTGAATTTCTTTCCTCTATGGGTTCTGTTGCCAAATTCATTCAAAGAAACGCCACTTTCCACAGAAATTTTAATCATCCAAGTCAGCATCTTTATCAAATTGGTCTTTAATACAAATACCTGAGATTTCTTCCTCTAGGAATCATGAAGTGCTCACCAGCACTTTTAGACTGGCCTTAAGACCTCTGCCTACTATGGAAGCCAGCTCAACAAAGAAGTGGAAAGATGGGGAAGGAAGCCAAACTTTATTCTGGACTCTTCTGCCTTTGGGCAATCTTCTCACACTTCTTCCAGCACTGCTACTCAGTTTCTGTCAAAGCCAAATTATGTAACTCCTACTCAATATTTAAAAAAACTCAATTGTGTTTCTGCAATTGAGTTCTTCTTTTCCCCTTTGCTACAGGCCAAAGGAATGTGTTACAGCATGTTGAGCCACTGAAGATCAATGCATACAAACTGTATGGAAATCCTATCTAAATTGGATTTAGATGTTCTGTAATCAGACAGTACATTTCACAGCACTCCAAAAACTGGCACATGAAAGCAGTATATAGCCAGAAAATAAATAAATAAATAAATAGACCCAGTAAAAATCCTTGGGAGTCCATGAGACAGATGTAACAAGAGTAATAGCCTGGAACATATATTGATAAACGATGCACACAAATTGAGTGTATGATTTCTTGRTATGATAACTAACTATACTCCTAAGTATGGTGTGATTGATAAATATCATCAAGYGCACACTAATTACATGACAGAGCTGAACTAAAAAAAGGCAGGCCAGGGGGGCAAAAGAAAAAGAGGGGGATGGAAAGATGTGTATACTTAGAAACCCARGAGGCTAAAAGGGAAATGACAGCAATTACATGATATAGACATTGACCTGGCAGGAAATTACTGCTCTAGTTTAGGAAGAATCAGATTTCAAATAAATCCCACACTTACAGTTGTGTTCAGATCACAGAGAGAAGTGTGGTTTGTTGATGACTCAGAAGTAGCATCAACCAAGGAGAAAGATCAGAAAAATCCTACAAACAACTGAGTGATCTTTAGAGCTTCAACAACAAAAACAGAGTGGGGTAAGAGGCCAAAGTGCATGGTCACGTACTCAAGGATGATAGAATTTCTCCTAAAAACCTGAGGTTTCTTAATGAAGAACAACCATAGAATGAAAGGATGAAAGGACTTTGGTATGCTGAGTGACAACAAACACGCAGATGTTGGGCACAAAGAAGATAACTGTAGATTTAGTATTTAACGAGGTATTAGTGGCATTGAGCATGAGACTTTCTAGAACACTGCGAACACAAATGACCAGAGAGTATAAGAAAGATTAATTCAAAGGGAAACCAGTGCAGAGAAGAGCTGTGCTCCTATTATTAGATTTCATAAATTCTGTTTTATTATATGGCAAAAGAAATACAGCCTACTGAGGCTAGAAAAAACAGGCCTCTAGAGATCAGCCTTTGACAAATATGTCAGAGAGCGTACCAAGAAACCTGTTCTAGTTAAGAAGTAAGATTGGCACAAATGGATATAAATGGACCATAAACCAATTTTGGCTGAAAACYATCACTTGTTTCTAGCTGCAAAAGGAAGAAAATTCACAAGCAYCCTTCCAACAGATATAAAAAAAAGGGGGTAAAAAAAAGGAATCCTGATTCCACTTCTGAATGCAGTTAGGTAATAATCCAAAGGCAGACAGCAAACTCATTGATTTAGCTGTATCTTCACACAGGTGCAGAACATACAGATGAGAAAGAAGCACTTTCAAACATGCTGGGTCTTCCTACAGGTAAAGAAGCTTTTCTTCATTTAAACTCCACTCCCCATGCTCTACACTGCAAGCWAACTATGGAGTCAGGACTATTAAGATATTGTTCTAAAGGACTCTGTACCGCTACAGCAATGAGACACCTCCAGAGAGGCAGTGTTTGGGTGGACTAGTACGATTTGTAGTGTCTGGGAAACTCATGGCACTACCTGGATTCAAAGCTGAATGCCAAWGCACACTGCACATCAGCTAACAGCMRAGTTTTACCTCAACATTGCCTAGCCTGTCTCAAGAGCAGCATCCCTGTAACTGTGGCACAGAATAAAGGTGATCGCTGTTCTGTTTGGCCAAGGGCTACATCACCACTTCAGGTACTTATTGTCAGAGCGTTTTCTCTTTGAGTGGTGGATTGGTTCCTGTGCTAGAACAAGAGAAATGCTAGAGCAGCACCTGGATTCCAGCACTTGCAGGAACACAGAGACATGCCAACACTACCATCAGATACACGGGAGGGGAATCTGACACACTGCTTTGAAGTCTTGCTTCAAAAGCACTGAAAAGTTTCAAGATGTCAAAGTCCCACATCAGGCAACGTTCCTCAGGGGCACTTTTGTTCCTCTCATCCAAAGAGTCGTGTCAAACCCAGCACTGCATCACCGTCAGTCAGATACATTATGTTTCACCTAGTAACAGGAAGCCTACACAAAAATAGGTATGTCTTGATTTCAGGATCCATTCTTCATAAGTTAGCAAAAAGAAAATATGTCAAGAATTTTGAAAGAAAAATCTGCATCTCAACCTGTTTTCAATAAGTCTATTTGTACTCTTTGAATCTAAAATCCATGTCTTTTATGAGAATTGCACTACGCATCGCTTAAATTCAGAATGCTTCACAGCTCTCAAACTTAAAATGTTTTCAAGACTTTTCCTGAACTTCGAAGTACTTATTGATGATGTTAAAACAGCAGTTAGGAAGGGCCCAGGAACCCAGAAACTGCCTCTTTGTTCTGTACAGAGCACTGCAGTAGCAGCAATTTGTGTTGTTTTGACTCCTGTGCAACAGGCTGCTCATAAATATGTCATTTCCCTCCCAGTCCTTAACAGCACAGATAAAAACAGATACTGATGAATTTTTAAAGTAACTATACCAAAAAAAGGGAAAAAAAGCTTTGCATCCTTTGCATCCTTATCTAAACATTCACAATAATATTCTCAATGTCCAGGACTTAATCCACTGATTCACTAAAGGAATTTACCAACTGCTAAAGCAAGGATTAGCTGTATCTAATTCAGAAGGAGTTTTAAGTTGCCCAAATATAAAACTAAGCCGGAGGAGCAATCCTGAAGTAGCAATAATTCCTGACAGCCAATTCTCCTTGACTGTTTTGTTAAAACACCAACACAACCAAAAAACTCCAAGCCCTCCAACAAAATTCATCAAATACTCCATCAAARTATAGAAACTGAAGTTTTGTTAATGCTGTGCAAGGGAACTTTCCTCAAATGTTCAGAGGTTGGGGTCACGGTTTTCTTCCGTGATGCCACGACATTAGGAAAAGTGAGTGACTGGGGCACTGGAAACGGCTCCCCAGGACAGTGACCACAGCACCAAGCCTGACAAAGTTGAAGTGTTCGGACAACACTCTCAAGCACACGGTGGGATTCTTGGGGATRCTGCTGGCCAGGGCCAGGAGTTAAGACTCGCTGATTCTGATRGTTCCCTTCCAACTCTACATACTCTGTATTCTATGATTAACTGTAGGGTGCCATAACAAATACTGTCCAAAAAATCTAACGCGCGTTCCTCCAAGTTTCACTTGCCATGTTGCTGCACGGGACAGAACGAGCCCGAGCGTCACTACCGCCCGTCCCCTGCGAGCGCCAGGGCGCGACCCGCGCAGGGCCACATCAATGTCATCCCTTCCAACACCGAGCGGCAGCGCCCCGGCCACGCCGAGGGCCGGGCTGCCGCACACGGAAGTGCCTGCCCCGGGGGTCACAGCATCGCGGTCACCCCCGAGCGAGGGCAGCGACSCGCCCGTCCGCAGCCCCCGGCCCCGCAGCGGGCACTGAGGGCACTGAGGGCGGGCGCTCCCGGCGCGGGGAAGAGTGCCCCCCGCCCCTGCCGGCGGGACCGGGCGCCCCCGTGCCGCGCGTGGGGCGGGCCGCCCGCGGGTCTCCCCTCACCTGGTTGAGCTCGTTCTCGGCGGCGACACGCAGCTTGGGGTCTATGGTGCCCTTCAGCGCCTGGATGATCCTGTTGGGATCCATCTCGGCCTTCCYCTCCCGGCAGGCAGCGCTTTCCCGGGGTGGCAGGACGCGGAGAAGCCGCCGCTAGCGCCGCCGCCCCCCCGTGCCACAAGCGCGGGCCCGCGTCCCCCACCCCCCCGGCCCCTTTCCACAGCCATTCACGGGTTTGCGACAGCTGGGTATCGGGAAACGGGCGCTGCTTTACGGCCGCGGCGCCGCCTTCTGGCTTGGGGAAGGGGTAGGGCAGAGGTGGCCGCCATCTTGTTGTACGGCAGGAGTCAGCCTGCAAGGGGTGGTGTTTGCAGGCCCTGACTCCATGGGGGCCGCCATGGCGCTGTACGGAACGCCGGCCGTTGCTCCCGTCGGGCCGCTGCATGGACTGGTTTTTAAATTAGGATTTTAAAATCACATTTTTCTTTCATAATAGTTTACACTCTGGTTTTCTAGGTAGCTTTTCGGGTTTCATGCTAGGCTTGGGTGTTCTGTGTTTGTTAGTCCGTGAGTCGTTCGCACAGTAATATGAGAACACGGGGACAGAGTGAGGTGGAGGAGAACTGATATTGTTCACAGTTATCCAGGTGCCTCAGGGATGTCCCCTGCACCAGAACGACTGACAACATACAGGAAGACAGAAATTCGCTGCAAGGAGCTTCCTAAAACGCACAGTTGGGTTACACATCATGATTCGTACTCTGCTTCTGAGCAGGTTTCCGGGTGATACTTGTCCTCATCATTATGTAGATCAGTAGAACCTGAAAAGGGTTTGCTTATCTTAATGCTGTTTGTGGTGAAAGGGGGTGGGAGATGCTTATCCCTCAGGAGGATTACAAACACCACCTTCTAACACTTCAAAACTCAAAGCTCTTGCCCCACCCTGCTTCTCCTCCTCTGTGCTAATATTTCCCCCTTAAATCCTAGAACATGCAAGCCAATTAAAGTAAGGTCTAAGCATCTGTGCAGAAGAAAGATGTCTGTCAACAGAGTAATTCTCAGGTTAAAAGACCAGAAAAACCTCATGACTTACACTTTTGGTGAGCCAAATCCTTTGGTTACATCTGCAGGTGATGTTTTACATAACATTTACAAACCAGAGGTGTGTGATTARGTGGTAGAAAGAACAGAAAGACTATTYGTTGTGCTTAGGAGTCAAACACAARGGCAATTACAASATCATCMCATTATACAGGTGCCTGAAGAATACAGTTGGACAATATGTCATTTGTTCAYTGTAATTACAGTATAAACCAAAATGCTAAAGCAGCTGGCACTATGGTGATTTAATAATAAAATAAATGTCCCCTAGTAACTTTACCTCTAATTAAAAAGGAATCTGTCACAATGAATTACACCTACCTGGCACTTGGAGATCGTACGCTCTCTTGTGGTTGTCTTCACCTTTTGAAGTCTTGCAGAACACCTGATCATTATCTTTCCCCTGTAATGCAGCTCTGCAGCACCTAGCAAGAAATTGTAGGCACTTTCATTCACCTTTCCACTTCTTARAAGCAGATGAGAGTATGCTCAGTAATCATAAAATACAAACAAAAACAATGTTCATGTAAAAGGTATATGTTATTAACTATGGTGATTCTTTGTTGCTTTCCCATTTTGGTTAAGGTAATAACCTGTTGAGGGAAAACTGCCCGTTATAAAAATTCCATATCATACTTTTAAATTACTTTAAAGGATTTATAGTAGTCTGTCTCTACTCCCTTTTCCCAAATCAGCATGTTACAGACAGTTTAAGAGCAGTTCTSTTTCATTCCATTTCTGTGTATTCATCTCTGGTAGGTTAACTTAAAAGTTATTAAATTTATTCGTTGAAAAACTTTAGTCTTGTAGAGCTAGTGATGTAAAACATATGAATAAATAACAAAATATACTTAAAGGGCATTTCAACATCTTGCTAAAATGTTTTTCAGAATTTTATTGTACTTACAACTTGCATTTAAAATGGTGCTTTTAGTGTTGCAAGCATTGTAGTTTACCTGTGTGCTGGGTTTGCTAGATGCCAGATACTTAGAAATTACTCTAAAGATAAATTTAGTCATTAATTGAAAATACTTTTATGCGACTTCAGAAATGTCAGGATGAAAAAAAATACCTATAAACCAGAAGTCATATGCCTTTCAGAGCAAAGATTCTGTTAATATTTGGGGATTCGTSTGCTTAGAATGAATGGTTGAGTTTGGTTTTTTAAATCTGTTCTGCTACTCYGCAAATAAAGAATCTGAGGTAAAATTCAGATTTTTCTTGTCAGCTCTCTAACTGCTGGTGAGASAAGATCCAATGTGTAGGGACAAGTGAGATACTAAGAAACTAAAAACAATGAACTCAAAGTTGCACCAGTATGCAAATAAGGAAAAATAAAACTAATAATACCAGGGAAATAGGTGATAATGCAAAGCAAAGATTGGGGTTTTTTTTAAGGCTTCAAAGCTTTCCGGGTGCACTATAATGATAGTTTTGTAAAGTATTTAGAACAATCTTATTTCAAAACTCAGTCACTGAAACCAAGGATTTTCAAAGTAACCAGTTTGACCCGAACAAAAATCAGACCAGGTTCCTCACAGAGTTGCCATCAAAATAACTCTATTAAGTTCAAGAACTTTGTGAGGTGGAAAAAAACCTAGAAAAACCTTRCATATTGCAGGTTACTGGAATTAGTCCTCTTGCTTTTGGTGGCCTTTAAACACACGCTGGTGGAGTCTCAGCTGTGTGTAACACACTGCTGGCATAGAACAACCCCGCCCTTACCATGGCAGCCATGTCCCTTCAGGACAGCACCTGGTGCTAGGGTGTAGTTACTAACACACACTCCTGAAAAAGCACGAGGAAGAAAACAACAATCCTCTGTGTCATGTGCTACAGGCTAAAAGCAAACCACTGTTCTCATTGTAGGGTTTGTTTCATTGTAGTAAACTAATGRCAAAGTGATTGGATCTGTACTTAGCATAAAGCCTTCATTCCATACCAACCACACCTCAAATCTTACTCTAGGGCCCAAAAGCTGTATGAACTAGTACTTTCCAGCCAGATTAGGACTTCACAATATTATTTTTTTCAAGTACAACACTGCCTGGAAACGTTCAATCCACAAACATGTACTTTTTTTCATTCTTAATAAAATTGTTTACAGTTGAGAGAAAACTAAACTGATCAAATACTTGTAAACAAGCGTGTAACTGGGTTAATTAATTTGTACCTGGTTATAGTACTGCATTTCTCCAGACTTTTCATATCCTTCACAAGACATGTAYAGATTTGATAAAGAGCTAGCAAGGATAATCTGCAGTAGATAAATGCATTCCAGTCACAAGCCCTTGATCAGAGTTAAAATTCTGAAGCCATCTCCTCCACTGACAGTTTTGTTGGAGCAGCTGTAGATAACAAAACAGTCAGGGAGGAAAAGGTACCTAAATTGAAGCACAGGATAGAGCAGTGACATTCTCTGCACTACCACTGCAGCCTGCAGATGGAGGTTTCCTTAGTGCAGGAAATCAGCCACGGTAGGGGTGGGAGATTATAGTCTCCCCACACTTTCATGATCTGGAAAAATAACCCAGAAAAGTCACAAGCCCATTAGAATTTTTAAAACTTTAAGAAACCCTTTGTTCCATTTGTACCCCTGACCCAGCATCACAGCCCCACACAGCTCACTAATGTACAGTGGGACAGGGAATAGAACTGGAAAGACAAAAGTGAGAGAGCCCGTGGGGTCAGATAAAGACAGTTTAACAGGTAAAGCAGAAACTCAGACAAAGCAAAGCAAGGAACTCATCCACCACTTCCTATGGGCAGGCAGGTGTTCAGCCATTTCCAGGAAAGCAGTGCYCCATCACGTGTAATCATGACTTTAGATGTCAGACACCGTAACTCAAATGTCCYCCTCTCCTCCTTCTTCCCCCAGCTTGTATTGCTGAGCACAGCATCATCAGGTCTGGGGTATCCCTTGGGCTGTCCTGGCTTTAACCCCTCCCAACTCTTTGTGCTCCCCCAGCCCCCTCMCCGGTRGGGTGGGGTGAGAGGCAGAAAAGGCCTTGACTTTGTGCAAACTCTGCTCAGCAATAACCAAAACATCTCTGAGTTATCAATGCTCTTTCGGTCACAAGTCCAAAAAACAGCCCCATACCAGTTACTCTGATTAAAATTAGCTCTTAGCAAAACCATTACACCCTCCCCATTACTGGATAGCTCCAGTGTTTCACTGATGTCATGAGAAGGAAACATTGAAATTTACTCCCTCTAAATGCAAACATAGTGTTTCYGTACCCTTAAAGTGTATCTTCAGCAGGCAGCACAAAAGAAGTAAACCAGAGAGAATTTAGGTGGTACCTAATTTGCACAGCAAAGACAGCAATAGGAAATTTGGCARAACTAAGATACCCCTTTGTATGTTTTAATTAGACTTAATTCTAATCCTTATATAGTTAAAGCATTTTCCTAATGCAACAATTYAATCAACTTCATTTAGCAATTACTGAGGAAAAAGGAGTGGAAATACAGCTTACACCATCACATGGTATTTACATGACAACTACACAGTGAAATATTTTCAGGTTGGGAGACTCACCTGTTAAATGCTTTGTCGGGAAGCAGAATAAAGAACTAGGTTATTAGTCTGGACATACTGACTAGACTAAAACTGTGTCAGTAAAAAATGCACTGAAATATTCTGAAGTAYTTTGGGAAGCTTTCAAAAACAAGTATGGTCTGAAAGCATGATGAGGTATTCTTACCCTAGTGCTTATCACCATGGAAAAATCATATGACATAACATCTTTAGGTATTATGGAGATCAGAATAGCAATGTTKGTACCAGCAGATTTTAGCCAGCTATGGGTATGGAAAAAAGGTGCTTTTGCTTGGTCTTCTGCAGGGTTTTTTTTTTTAAACACAGTCTTAGCATTTAAGGTTTGGTAACAACCTTTTGAGTTGCTTCTAGTCTGAAAACTTCTTTAGGACAGTACCTTTTCAGTTGGACTTACACTCCTTTTTGTAAGAGGTTAGTAAAACTKGTGTTCACAGCTGACTAGAAACAATGAAAACCAATAACCCTGGGTAAAAAGGTACTATATGAGAAACCCACAGAATTAAATCAATCTTTTTTCAGTTATGCTAGGGGATGAAAATTATACTCTTTTCAACAAAAAACAGGAGAAAACCA